CGTCATTGGTCTAATGACCGCGCGTGGTCACATGTTCAGTCAGCAGACGTACGGCTGGCTGGCTGTGTTTGTACTGCCGCTAAACTCGGCCGTTAATCCGGTTATCTACACACTTCCGGTTGTCTACAAAAAGTGGGAGGATTTTAAAAACGGAAAAACGAAGAACCATTCTTGTACTGCGGTTACCACGACCTGATTAGTCTTAAAGCCGTGTAGCCGTTGTAGGAGATGAATATAATAGCAGGCCTAAATCACTAACCAGGGTTAGATTAGTGTTATATTCTGCAAACGGCATAACAGTAGGGGAAAAAGAAATAGTATACCACAATGTTTATAAAAATATGGATTACTTAGATTTGATATCTTCGGACATAAAATTCAAGCTTTTATGATTAATATAAATGTATCAAGCAAAAACATATAAACACACATTTGAAGAACACGGGATAAACCACAGATGTCCCCTTTTTAAAATTTTTAAGCCAGTGCAATCTTTATATAGTATTTATTTAAGTCTATTACTTAACATTATGAGCGCGTTAAACCACCTGGATCCCATAAATATTTTGGATTTTAATATCATGCCACAATTGAACAGCAGAGGATCGCAAACACATTTTTTTTTAAAAATCGAATATCATATGGTGTAGATCTAATTTTTTCTTCTGAATTTCCTTTGCTTTACGTTGAGATTAAATGTTTACAATAGTCATGTTTTTTTAACTGTTTATAAAACAAATTTACTTTACAGTACATGTTTAGTAAAAGAGGGAGTTTGACTCTGGAAATGTAATTTAAGCGAAGGGTTTGTAAATATTAAGGGATGGGTTGAATATCAACACATATTTTTCTCTAATGTAACAAGTGCCATTTTATCACTTTTTTTCTTCAGGTTGCGTCCTTTGTAACAAAATTTATTGAAAGAGATATCTACTTCGCATGTGTATGTTATATCTATATTTTGTATAATAACTTTTAACCTGCTTATTCTTGAACCGTTGTAGAAGATGATTCAAGTAGGCCTAAATCACTAACCAGGGTTGGATTAGTAAGTGTTATATTCTGCAAACGGCATAAAAGTAGGGGAAAAAGAAATAGTATACTACAATGTTTAAAAAATATGGATTATTTAGATTTAATATATTCGGACAAAAAATTCAAGCTATTATCATTAATATAAATATATCAGGCAAATACATATAAGCACACATTTGCAGACGACATGAGATAAACCACAGATGTCCACTTTTTTACATTTTAAGCCACTGGAATCTGCATATAGTATTTATTTAAGTCTATTACATAACATTATGAAAGCGTAAAACCACCTTGATCCCCTAAATTTTGGATTTTAATATCATACCACAATGGAACAGCAGAGGATCGCAAACACATTTTTTTTAAACATCGAACATCATATGGTGTAGATCTATTTTTTTCTGAATTTTCTTTGCTTTACATTGAGATTAAATGTTTACAATAGTCATGTTTTTGTTTTTTGTAAAAACTGTTTATAACACAAATTTACTTTACAGTAAATGTTTAGTAAAAGAGGGAGTTTGACTCTGGAAATGTAATTTAAGCGAAGGAGCTGTAAATATTAAGGGATGGGTTGAATATCAACACATATTTTTCTCTAATGTAACAAGTGCTATTTTTATCCCTTTTTTTCTTCAGGTTGCATCCCTTGTAACAAAATTTATTGAAAGAGATATCTACTTCGCATGCGTATGTTATATCGATGTTTTTTAAATAACTTTGAACCTGAGCCAAACTTGACAATTTCACAATTCTGTAAAACTGTGGAAACAGCTTTTACAAGTGCGACGAGAAATAGTTATAATAGATTTACTCGGTTCTTTCTCTTTTACCATTCTAAAACAAATTTGTGGCACAAAGTGAAAACATAATACTTGGCCAGTTATTGCAGTGTGTTCCACTTTCCATCCTGGCTGTTCGATGTACTTGATATCAAGTCTAGACACGTTATTTTCACCGATTCCAGTTCGGTACTCAACAGGGCTGAGTTGACTCAGGAGCGTACAATAAAATCGACTCCAAAATCCGAATTCGTTAAATTCTGGCTAGCAGCCATGTTCTACCTTCTGACCAAATCAACCTTAATTGTGGTGAATATAAACATTAAATAAATCCCCTGTAACTCAGAAATGTTTGCTTGAGTACTGAATGCACTTGAATATAAATGTTTATGGATAACATTAGGAGTTCACGCTAAGTATCTTTGTAGATGCAATTTTATGCTCTCACTACATCAAACAGGGACAAGCTAAATGTCTGTTTAATGTCAGTAAAAAAAGGATGTCCTTATTTATTTTATTTGCATTCAATGTAAAATAAATGTTCATAAGTGTAATAATTGTTTTTAAATGTCTTTTTTTTTAAATTTAGACCATGCAGTCTTATACATCGATAACTGTACTGGTACTTTGAATAAATTGCATGTTTTTTAAAAGTTGAATGTTTCCTTTTTTTTCTTTAAAGAGTTAACGAACATGAAAGAAAGTTACAATTATTATAAGGTGATACACAAAGTAATGTTAACTTACATTTATTTTCACATAACACATAACAAAAAGGACATTCGTTACTAAAATATTGTTTTTTAAAACGTTTTAATACGTTTAGCCACATATTATGGCCATATTTTAGTAAAAGTGTCGATTGTAGTCTAGGGAAAATAATTGAAGGGAATGTGACTTGAGGAAAGATGATTTGAGGGAAGATAATTTAAGGGAAGACGATTTTGAGGGAAGGTGATTTGAGGGAAGACGATTTGAGGGAAGACGATTTGAGGGAAGATGATTTGAGGGAAGGTGATTTGAGGGTAGACGATTTGAGGGAAGACGATTTGAGGGAAGGATTTGAGGGAAGGTGATTTGAGGGAAGATGATGTGAGGGAAGGTGATTTGAGGGAAGATGATTTGAGGGAAGACGATTCGGGGGAAGACGATTTGAGGGAAGATGATTTGAGGGAAGACAATTTCAGAGATGATGTGAGGGAAGTTGATTTGAGGGAAGGTGATTTGAGGAAAGGTGATTTGAGCGAAGATGATTTGAGGGAAGATGATGTGAGGGAAGACGATTTGAGGATTCGTTGGCCAGAACAATTTGTGGGCAATATTCTAATGGGTAGCTGACCTTGAGAAAAGAGATTCCAGGGTCAACGCTGTCTTATTTCTCAAATTTGTCAATTCGGGCTTTGTAGCAATCGGGCACTTGTCCGTTCGGAAAATCGGCCTTCAGGCAAACGGATTCGGGCAAGTGTCTTTCGGGAAAACGTCCGACTCCCCAATACAGGATGTATATTTCAATTATTGGATGTTAAACTGGCATTGCGTGTGTCAGCGTAATAAGTTTTTTTAATTAGAAAATGTCGCGAGTATGATACAACAGACATGTACAGTTTTGTCTGAATGTTTTAATATAACATTATTAAAAATACTTATAATTTGAACAGATTATTTTTACAATTATTTATGTATAATTAACAATATCATCGAATCTCTACTTCACCTGTCATAATATCTTTTAATATTTCTTATATAATTATCTTTAAAAAGTGTTTAAGTAGAACGCGGTGAGTACTAAGAAGTTACATGTCAGATTTTTGCATTGTTTTATCCCGTAAACTCATTTGGGAAATGTCCAAATCACGTTTAATATGTTGGTGGCGATAGATTGCTGGTACCACAGTAATATATATCACATGTGAATATGGGAGACCCTCTTTACTATATCTACTGCTTGGGTTTTTGCACACACTTTAAAAATCCATAAATTGTTATCAGATTAACCTTAACTTAGATAAATGAGGAATTTCTAAAACTAATTATTGTGTTGTTGTTTTTTAGCTGAGTAAGCAGCGGTTGGGGTGGGCAGGTTTAACTAAACCGTTAATGACGTATTCTTGACCCTGACCTTCATCAAGACTGATTTGTTAAAGCCAATACCTTTTTAAATTTTTATTTTTTTTAAAGTTTAGCCAAATTTGTTTACAATGACCCTGGAAAAAATAATGCAAGATGCGATAATACGTGCGTGCGGTAGAGAATCAAATTGGGATTTTAAAACAAGTTAATTACATGTTGATTAGAGGCTAATTGATTATTTTCAATTAATTAGTGTCGGGTCTCAGAGGTTCTGTCAGGTTTGCTATCACAGGTTTAGTAAAACTGTTGCCTCTGTGAAGGAATTTTTTAGGTGACCTGACATTTATTTTCCCACATGAATTCTGAGGCTCTGTTAAGGGTGTTTTAGGTAACCATGTGTTAAAATAACTGAGAAACGTTTGTAAAAATTAAAGCAAAATGAGAATATTATTTCTAGTTAGAGCCTCGTTTTACCTAATGAGGCTCTGTTTCAGTTTACAGACTACTGAAGCTTGAATGAGGTTAGAGCTTATTGGGATAGTGAGGATTAGGATAACGTGAGTCATTAATGTTTTTAAAGGGGTGGGCAGAGCAAATGTAAAGTTAGTGCAGTCAGTAAAGGCGATAATTAGTTTCGTAAGTCAATTGAGTTAAAATTAGGGCCCACGCAGAGGCTTAGCGAGGAGGGGGGAGGGGTTGCGGACCGCACCGGGTGACACCATTTAGGTGGGGGGTGACACCGAGGCAAAAAAAAAAAAAAAAAAAAAAAAAAAAAAAAAATATATATATATATATATATATATATATATATATATATATATATATATATATATATATATATATATATATATATATATATATATATATACTGCACATGTATTGTAGTCCTAGTCACACACTACTTTCAATACAGCACAGTCATGTAATGTACTGGAGTCCAACCATTTTACTCAGACAAATACTAAATAGTAATATTACCTATCAGGGCTAGGGTCAGTAACTCCTGGAGAATCGGGGCAATTAGGTTAGGATATAGACATCTTCTTAATGAAAAAAAATGCATTGTTCAACAAAAGTTGTTTTTCGTAACTCTTTATTTTAGAGATCAATGTTTAATTATAGAACGTAACCCCAAAATGATAATCTATAAAGGTAATTAAAACACATCTTATAAGCTAAAAGATTTTTACTCACAAGTTAATTTTCTCAGTGGGTTTTGGTCAAGAAAGTCAGGTAGGCCTAAGTGTTTTCCAAACATTGTAGTTTTCATGTTTTACTAGTAATTAACTTTTTAAACGTTACATGTTTGCTAAATCTTTACAAGCAATTCATAATTAATGTACTGACTTACTATAAATATAATCGCTTGTTTATATTAAGTGAAAACATCTGTATTGTTGTGCCTTTACTATGTAAAACTAAACCGAATGCTAGTTACTAAATACTGCAGGTAGATATTAAAAACCATCCCTGTTATCGAATCTCTAGATTAAGTCGCTCTCTATTAATTACACAGACGCATCAATGACAGTCTAACAACAGCTCACTTTAATTGGACTCGATACTTCAGTCTTAATTGATACTAGGCATGCTGCCTAGCTTCGCTTAGGTTTTCAAAAACACTGAGAATTTGAATGCTTAATTAATTAGTGATTGGCTGTTATGTGTAGTGCTCATATAAGGCGCCGGTCAGTCGAGGTCAATTTTGACCCCCCTCTTCGTAGACTTTTCGACCAACCGGCACCGGCCCCTGTGTTCTGTCACCCCAAGGCAGAATCCTGCCAAATTTGAAGCGCTTTGGCGTCGAGAAGTGCCCGACAACTTTGCTTTATCTAAGTCTAGTTTTTCCGTAGATCTAGATCATCTAGATCTAGTCTAGATCTAGTATATCTAAATCTAGATCTAGAATATCTAGCGTCTGTGTCCAGTTTTTGCGTAGATCTAGAATTCTAGATTATTCTAGATCTAGTCTAGAATCTAAAATCTCTAGATCTAGATCTAGAATCCAAATAGATAAAGTAAATTTTATAAGTTTAGGCCTAGAAAATTGTATTTTAAAGGTCTAGATTTCATAGCGTTCGTAGATCTAGATCTAAATCAAAGTTGAATGAAATTGTTCCTTCTTTATATTCTAAACTCGGTAGATGTCGTGATTAGTTTTTTTTTTTTACCATTTTTTAAAATTTATTCTTCTCTTCTTTCTTAGAAAATTCAAAAGCATAAATTAACACCTTAGAACCTATCATAAAAGCATACAAAGTTTGTATATTAATTTATTTACTGGAACCTAATATATGACTCATTACAAAAGATCTGCTTTCATTTTCATCACTACCACCAAATGTTTTCCTTTGTTGTTTTCCTTTGTTCCCAGAAAATGTGTCATAAGATTTTCGCTTCACTCCTTTTTTCTGTGCAAAATCTCCTCATCTGTTAACCTCTACCGTACCCCGTCTGCAATTGCTCTCTTCTCAAAAACTTCTCCCTTTTTCTCTTTACGTTTTTTGATCTCACTTAATGTCTTTGACTTTTCATAACTGTTTACATAAAAGCTTGTCTTTTTTTCACCTGAGAAATGTCTGCCCTGATTCTGCTTTCATATCTTGCCCTTTTTAATTCCCTGTCTGCATTTACATAAGTCCAAGTAAATTTAGGCAAATACTTTATATTCCATATGCAATTAAACCAAGGATTCCTTTTTTGCCACCAACTTGTGTATTGTTCAAAGCCAGAGCCACATATTTGGCTACACTCTTCTTTGAGAATTCTACCCATCCTTCAGTAAACAGCAGGCCTTTCCTATAAGAGTAGCTTTTTTCCACGGGTTGAAAAAATGTTCTGTTAACTTCACCAAACTCTCCAAATACATTTCTTAACTTTTGAACGCTCATATATTCTGGAACTGTGCTTAAATATATTATTCCGGGTTTGTCATTATTATATTTTTTTTATTGGCTTTTGAATTACTCGAAGAAGTAGCATGTTCCTCAAATTTTTCGTCCATGTTTGTTATTGTCATTAGTTTCGTGCTCTTTTTTAAGTGATAACAATAAGCGACGTCATTGTTAAATGCGTTTTTGTCCTAAGTTTAAACACTTTTCCGGTTGCATAATAAAAATTGTTTTTCTACATTTGAATACGCCTTTATTTTTTATTTTTCTTCTTTAAATAAAATTGTGGTTATACATTTAAAACATCTAACATATTATTTTCAACAAAAGACCGTATAAAGGTATCCATATATCGCTGCCGATTCTGACGTGATGTCCGGCGAAAATATTTTGCGGACAGACAGAGAGAGAGAGAGAGAGAGAAGTGCCCACTTGGGCAATTATATATTAGGATTGTTGGTCAAATTGGGATTCTTTAAGTCATAGTCGGTATAGACCTAAGTTTCTAAAATTGTATATCATACTTGATTTTATAATAAAATCTACCGTTTAACATATTACACACACAACACTTTCAAATATGTTAAAAGCTCATTAAAATCGATATTGAATAACATCGAAATTTAACCAAATAATGGTTACTCTTTTTCTTTTATGTTCTTAATAAGTTAGAACTTTTAAAAAAAAAAAAAATTTTGCTATTTGAGCGCTTTGGATTGTTTAACCCACGTTAACCATAGAACGATTAAAACCTAACTAATACACAACTTGCGTGTTTAGCAATGTGTACTTCGTTGACGATATATAACTGCAATATAACTGCTTTCTAGCCAAAAGTACATCAGAAAAAAAGTAATTAGCTGGTCTAAATATAAGCGTTGATGTTTACATTTAAGTTGTTATTTCTTGGTGCTTGACATAATGGTTTTAAAATAATCTCTTCGTTCCTATAGATACATTTATCGTGTTACTTGAATGCGTTTTCTGGAAATGTGCTGAAGAAAAATTTAAACGAATAATATAGTAGCTTGTAATGTAATATATTCTACAAGTTTTGCAAACGCTTGTCTATTACTTGATTATTAAATTATAAAATATCAAAGTGATTTTAAAAATCCAGTTTTAAAAAATTAAATAGAAGAGACAAGCGTTTATGCAACAGTTTACTCAATATTGGGCATTGGATTTATATTTTCAGATTTACGAGAAAGCGCAGAAAATGAAGGGACTCCTGCTGCTGTTATCAATAGCTGTGGGAGCTGTGTCCGGCTGCCAATATTCCGACTGGACCCTCAGTTTTGATAGCGCGGGTCTATCGCGATGTGACGGCTACAACCAGGTGATCCGAGGCTTCTACAGGAGCAACCCCCAGGGCGGGCGTGACGACATCTCCCTGCTAGAGAAGGCTATGTGCTGCAACCCTCCCTCCCCCTGGCAGAGCTCCAGAACCCAGATCTTCTACGCTGATTGGTATTATGTTCTTGACGGCATGAAGGTCTGGGCTACCTGCCCAACTGGCTACTTCTTAAACGGGCTGTACAGGAGTGGTGGGAAAAATGGCGGTATTTTTAATATTGAGTACGGCAGGTGCTCCAAGCCCAGCGATCATCCATCCTACTATGGACAGTGCTATGACGAAGACATCACCATATGTTTTGATAACGAGAATCTCTGTCAGTGTAAAGATGGGTACTACGTCACTGGAATCTACAAGTCGACCTGTGAACAACTTCACTGCATCGAAACACTCCGATGCTGTAAAATGGCCAATGGACGCGCTGTCTTAGACGAGCAATTCAAGGTAAAGAATTTAGTGATGGACATGACAATGTCAGACATTGCAAGTCTCGCCCATATGCTGGGGTATGGATGGTGTGCAAGTTGTCGGGCGCCGTTTGTCGGTGAAGATTTCAGACGCAAGGGGGACACATGGGTGGCTGATACGGCCGGTCCTTGCGATGGGTACAAGAGTAATCAAAGGCTCGGCATGGACTATAAAGACTGGGGTTTCGGTATGAAGAACATCAAATACGGGGAGCCTGTCATAGAGGAGCTGACACCAGAATCCATCGACAGCGGCACCATGTACAACAACGACGCCACAGACGCCATCAAGACCATCACCCGGGAAGAGACAATCACCCGCACTGTCACACACACGACAACCAGCGAATGGAAAGACAGCCACGAGCTGGGGGTCACCGTGGGCTACACACCCCCACCTATCGGGGGAATGAGCGGCAGCATTTCCTACAAGTTCAACTACGAAACCTCATCGACAACGACCGACGAAACACAAAACCAGCAGAGTCAAACCTTCTCCATCAGCACATCCAAGACTCTAAAGCCATACAGCGCTGTCAAGTGGAATCTTATTCTGTCTAAGACAAGAACCACAGTCCCTTACACCGCGACTATACTCACCAGATTCAGCACGGAGCTTCAAGGTTTCCTTCGATGGGGAGGAGGAGGCAGCAACCCAGATACCAACTACCACTACAAGTACAAAGGCAGCGGAGAGAGACCCACTATCAACTACAGATTTGGAGATTCCTCCACGCCCTTCTACACAGCCTTGAAACGAGAGAGCGACACCAACTCCCTTCCCTGGCTGTGGAACGATATGGCCAACGCTTATCCAGGCGCTCGAAGTCTGATCAAATACCTGAGCAACGAGGACCTGTATGTCTTCACGCTGACTGGAAAATTTGAGGACGTGGTCGGCAAACACGTCGAGGTGCGCTGGGACGAGATCCCTAATCCTAGCAAGGGAGAAGAGAAAGAAGTTGCAAAGAATGGAAGTTTTGTGGCTAGAGCAGGTCCCAACGACAAGCCAGCTAACGTAGAACCACCAGTGGTTGAACTCAAGCTGCAAGAGGTACAGCTGGAAGATGTGAAGTATAGCATCAATTCAACCATTGTCTAACATTGATGGAATGACATCGGTTGGTTGTTCATAATTAAAATTACCTAGGCAATGCTAAGGTGTTATTTTGTCTATTTTTGTCCTGTTTGTAATTTTATAAATAATCAAATAATATACAATCTTTTATTCGTGTAAGTGTTCAAGTAAGTTCTCTAAATTACTAAATGGTATGTTCATGTAGCATTTTTGTTACATTCAAGTTAACGATAAACACTTTCTCGAATAGTCTGTTAAAATATGTACTTATTATATAAGTGTATTCGAGAACCTGTTATTTCTAAAGTTTCTATAATTTTCTTTTAATTTACTTTTTAAAGTTTAAATACAAATCTAGCGTCGTCGGGTAATCAACTATATTTCCATACATGTTTGATTTTTTTCCATCTCAATCATAACCAAGTACTGAACAACCTGACACAATTTTTATCATTTACACGATGCAGTTTTTCCAAAATATTAAAGTTGCCCTTTCAAATCTGACGGTCCATGGGAGTAGGTGCAGTAGAATTCACCTCTGTCAGTTATATCGGCGTGTGTAAGACAGTGTGGTCATAATTGTTACGAAACGAGTCATCTATAAGGTTGGTACTGATAGTGGTGACGACTGCAGTGAGAGGTTCAAGTAAAATGCAAACACAATTTCAGCTAGGCAACTTTAATGGGTACTACTTTAGTCTTCAATATACAGGAAATAATCTCGAACATTGATAGTGGCCAGCCTTAGGGGCCAGCTCTATCACAAATTACAAAAACAAAACACAAATACATGCTAGCAGGCCTAACGTTTAACTCCTATATCTATCTGGCGCTCACCAGCTTGGGGTTTATGCCTCGAATACAATAGGGTATGCCATTACGTGTTTCCCCAAATGTGCATACCTGGTTAATTGGGTCGGGCTCAAGTCAAAGAACAGGGACGTGCACTTCCCCTATCTTGCACATCGCTAGGTAGGGTGGGGTGAGGAGTGGGGGTGGAGTAGATACTAACAAACGGTGGGACGGGGATGCATTGTGTCCCAGGTCAGGTGTGGGACGGGAGAGGGTGGGTTAGATAACCAACTAGCATCAATAATAGACTCAGTCATAACAACAATGATAAGGAAGAAAATATGGTAAGATTTTAAAAGTTAGAATTGAGCTGTACGAATCTATACAAAAGCTAATATTAATACATTTTGGTACTCAAAATCTAGAGTGGAAAACATTTCAGTACACAAAAGCTGAGACGAAAATAAATTGGTACACGAAAATTATAGTGTAAAACATTCTAACACACACAAATATAGTTGCATACATTTCAGTACTGAAAAACATATAGACATAATTTTAAATACATTTTAATTATTTAAACTTTTTAAAATAGAACAGAATCTAGTAGGAAAAAAAGAAATGCGCACCAAGTGAACGCCAAACAAAATGTGTATAATAGTGCGGAATATTATTAGTACCCTATTAATTCACATTAGTTTTTTTTAAAAATCGGAAATAGCCTAAATTATTACTTCGGGTCAACAAAATTACTCAAGATTTGGCAGAAGGCAAAGAATTAGACATTTTACTTACAAGTGAAATTTCATTTATCTGTCTGGAAGCTCTATGCTTTTGAAAAATTTAAAGAAGAAAAATTTCCTTTTCCGGTTATCAAAAATCGCTGAAAAGTTGATACTAATCTAAAAAAATGTACATAATACTTATATATGAAATTTCATCAACCTAGCTATAACGGCATTCAAGTTATCGTGTTTACGCACAAACACACAGACACACAAATACACACACACACACACACACATAAGTTCATCCGTCACAAAATTACATACTGCCATAGTTTCTATAGCATTTAATACAATTAATTTATAATTTTGAAACTATAACTAATTGAATTATTCAACTTGAGACATTAAAGGCAAATAAAATGATTGACCACAAAAGTAAATATTACACAAAACTCTTCACAAAGGAGAGAACTTCGTTTTATTTAAGGCACTTTAAAAAAAAACTAAGTAGTCTCCCTTGCAAACACAGTTTTTAAAACTTTTGATGCCCAAAACGACATATTTCTTTTTCCCACGTTTTCTTTAACTTGCTTTCTCTGTGTCTGTGTTTCTGTGTTTGTTTGTCTTTCCAATCAAATCTTGCGATCGAAATTTCTGGCACTTCCCAGTTATCTAGCGGGCTGAAATTTTCAGGGAAGCTTTCTTTTGGATGACCATTGAATATTCAATTGTTATTATTACTAAATTGATCAATGGAAACATTTTATTGAGCATTTTAGACCGCTATATAATCTATATATATAATTCTCCTCTGCGAGCCATTAGAAAAAAAACGAGCGACGCGTACCTCGCGCGCAGTGAAGCGAACGATCCCACATCGCCACAGGCTTAGGGGCAGATAATTTAGTTTGAACCGAGTTTAAACTTACAGGAGGTATGCCAGTTTGGGGGAGACGATATGGTCGAGTGGTTGGGCACACGATTGCTATCCCACTCGACACGGGTTCAAATCTATGTGTTAACACAACGTGTTTTTTACGAGTTGTCTTTTTACGAGTTGTCTTCGTTTACCCAAAAAAAGTGAAAAGATAAAATCGATAGCAAGATTTTAATGCAAACAAACAAAGACTAAAAAGTAGAAAATAATAATCATTAAAAAAGTTTTTAAAAACCCACGTTTTCTGATTGAACTAAAAAGTAGAAAATAAACGCTATACATCACAATAATGCAAGCGATCACTCTACTATAAGCGATCAAAAACGTGGGGCGCCGTGATTTTCTTACAGTTTCTAATACTGTTGACTCTCTACAAGCTCCCTAATAAAAGTCAATAGTATTATCTAATCAATAGTAATATAACTTTTACTTCGGCGCCCCACGTTTTTCATCGCTTATAGTAGAGTGATCGCTTGCATTATTGTGATGTATAGCGTTTATTTTCTACTTTTTAGTTCAATCAGAAAACGTGGGTTTTTTAAAACTTTTTTAATGATTATTATTCCTTCTGAATTCAGTGTGCGGGGACAAGCCGAGTTTCTTCCAGGCGTCTCTTGGGGGGGGGGGGGGGGGGGGCGGGGAGCCCCTCTGAAGAAAGTCTACCGCCCATCTCTACCCCCCCCCCCTTAAAAAAAATTTCAAGTGCCCCCACCGGAGAAAACACTGGGCAAAAGGTTGTAGCTACACTGCTAGAACTGTCTCTGTTTTGGCCAGATGGCTTTATTTGAACGGATTTAAACACAGCAGACATAACTACTCCTTCTACTGTCCTCCTGGATTGCTTTGGGCCTACTTTTTCCCCCTGAGTAAGTCAAAGTAAAGTCCCTTTCAAACCTGACGCTCTACGATGCAAGTGAAGTAGAGTTCACTTGTTTCTGTGACCACAGCATATGAAGGAATAGTGTGGTCAGCACATTACTTTCCCTAACGTGAGTTAGGTAGGACGATCTACTAACTTGATTGCCTCGCGTTTTTTTCCACTTCTTTTCTTAGAACATGTCCGATCCATCCTCATTTACGGGCTTTAAATTCCATGCCAATCGGCTGTTGCTTTATAGTTCGCCACTAGTCTTCATTAGAAATTTTCTCTGAACTTCCTATCATACTAGCCATTGGTGAATTAAAGGTATGTATATTTAAATGTAATTCTTTTTTGAGAAAAATATTTTATAAATTAGTTATTGGTTAAAATGCAATGTGCTTTACTACACGTTGAACGATATTAGTGACAAAGCAAAAAAGTAACTAAATAGCTAAAAACGCGACACATTTAAAATAACATAGGCTACCAATACCTTTAAAAAAACAAATTATATACATTTTAGGTCAACACAACACCATATTAAACGCACTATCAGTAAGTCGTTTAGGACGATAACCCCCCCTCCGTTCCTCCAACCCCCTAATCCCCCCTCCCCGTGAAAGCAGCCTCCTCAAGTTTAAAATCGTTTGAAACTAAATTATCTGCCCCTAATAGCCGTCACTAAACCCGGCTCTACGATTGTAAACATTTAGCGTGAACCACAGCACACCCGACTTTCTAGAGAGGAAGAGAGGGAAGTTCAAGGCTGGCTACATTTTATTTTCTAACGTCTCCAAGAAGAAAATTATATATATAGATACTAAGATTAGAAGTTCACGCCCTCAGTTTTGTGAACTTGCCGTAGTTTGTTACATTTCAAGTCATTGTTTTTAGCGTTTTTGTCAAAGCAAAAAAAAAAAACTTTTTCCGGCTGCATAGTGTAAAATGTGTTTCTACATTCGAATATTTGTTTATATTATTTTTAACCTCATGTAAATAAAATTTTGTTTATAAATTGAAAGCATCCAATATATTTTTTTCAACAAAAGTCCGTAACTTTAAGTTCCCCACATTCTGATGCAAATTTCGTTTAAATAGTTTTTGCTCAAGGGATCGTTTTCTGTGACGACAAAGAAACGTATGTAAATTCATACAGAAATGCGCTATAGAATAGAACTTGGTGCGCTCGGTGCATTTATCTAAAAGGTCAATTTGACCCTAAATTAGGCTGTTCAAATTTCTCGCATCTAGAGAAATGCAAAGAATTTAAACGTCCCGAAAGTTTGTTTCAGTGTCCAGCATCTTACTGTATTCCTGTCTATAACATTAATGATTATCCAGATTGTCCCTATGGAGAGGATGAAACATTGAAAATACAAAACATTTTAAAGTGCATTGCCATGGATCCCTCTAAATGTATCTTCTGCCTGCTAACATTTGTAACAACAAGACACATTGTCCTCACGGTGATGACGTAAAATGTCTTGTAGGGTTCAAGTATCTCGTTGGCATAGTCAGCCCAGCTGTGCAACCGGACAAAATTATTCTAACAAGTCTCAATGAATTCGACATTCACAAATCAAATTTAAATAAAAACTGTGGGTTAGACCCCCCGCATGGGAATCGCGAAGGGCTTTCTGGGGGTCCACTAACTGGTAAACTAAACCTTAACAATGAAAAAAAAATCTACTAACATCACCGGATATGAAATAAACAAGAACCAATGCGTACAATGCAAAGTTATTCTTAGTCGTGAGT